GCAATGGATTGTGCTTTATGGGGCTGACGATTATATAGCATCCGTTTTTTAGAATAAGTCAGGATTCCTGGTATTTGTCGGGGCTCTGGACACTGTTTGCACTTACTCAGGCAACAGCGTTAGATGCTCGAGATTCGGGAAACTGAACGACAATGAACACTGATGAAGAGCCTTCCTATACCTACCATGTCAGAACCTCCATGGGATGCATATTGAGATACTATTGCGGTGAAGACCTCGTATTTGGTGGGAATAGAAAATTGACATGTGCCATATTCACTTGAAGACATTATTTGGCAGTGAGTAATGAAAGAATCCTCAGGCTTGATAACTGAAGAGAGAGCATGGGCTAATGTTGCCTGATGTGACGGTCTGACAATAAGTGGCTGATTGGGTATCATTTATATTCTGACCCCAGTAGACAACACTCCGGCCTCTGTCCGCGAAGGCCGTGATGACAAGCACTAGAGAAAGGGTAAGAATAAAAAGTGGCTTCAAGGCAGCTTCATAGTACTATGAAGATTAATCTTCTGAATTCGATCGCTATTCTAGTATAGGTCCCTCCGTTTCCTCTATCACCTCTTGAAATGGTGAATATCGACCCTGGCTTGATCGGACGTCGCCTCAGACTGCCAGCTGATGGCTCCAATCCCAATGCTGAAGAGATATCCAGCCGTCGATTGTCTTGTATCACGACAGCCAGCCTATTTTGCATCAGAAAAGCCATTCAGCATTTGGAGTTGGCCCTTATATGTGAGTCGAAGAGCCTTTGTCCCCTTGAGGTACCAGAGAATCCAACGAGCGAGTTTCATGTGCTGTGATCCCGGACTGGAAAGATACCGATTCGCTGGAGACAGCGTATGCAATATCGCCTCTCCTTCACAGTATGATATCAAGCAGATCAACGTATTACTGGAAATACCAACACTCACGCACATGGCTCTGTAGAACTGCAGAATCATGGGATCCTGAAATATGTTGTTAAGCAGAACTGTGACGGTCTACACAGACATGTGCTGTTCTAGCTGTACGTGTTGATTCATACTGATAGACAATAAACTGACAATCATCGGAAGGATAAAATATCCAAGCTCCACTGTAATAGTAACCGAGAATCAGATGAAGGCAGAAAGATCCTAGTTGCATATCGAGCGTGATCCAGCGAGCAATCGAAGCTTTAGTATATCAAATTGAAGTATCAAAATGTCTCTCAGAATTTATACCGTCGCCATTCTCAAAATCGGTTTTATTAGCATGAGATGCTGCAATGTCAGTAGACGCATCAGAACCGTAGGTACGTATAGATGTACGTGACTATATGGAAATTATTCGAACAGTAATGCTATTCAAGAAATATATTTCCATCCTCCAAAGTTCCGTCCTCTGACGACTCATACTGTGAATCAGCCTCCCAAAAGTCACCGTCGATAGGCCACTCCAGACTTTCAATTAGTTGTGTCATGTGGCGCGTAAATGTTGCCAGAGAACCATCGTGCTTTTTAAAGTCATACGTGTCCCATCTTTGCCAATTTAGAAGGTCTAACAATTTTCCATACCACTGATGCACGTAGTGATCTTCAATTGCAACGAACACTTCTTCCAGAGAACACGAATTGATTGGAAATAGGAAAGGGAGGAAATCGGTGCAGTCTTGTAACCTCAAGGATTTGAGATGTGGTAGCTGGACCCTGAAATGTTGTCCTTGGTCAACGAAGGTACCTTCCATGCTAATCTTTTCAATGGTTTGGCCCAGAGTTTCGAAGAAGCTCAATCCGATATGCGAATCACAAACATCCACCTCCAGTAATGTCTCCGATTGTCCCGAAATCGTTAAGCCTGCGGCTTGATACCCCGTCAACCCGAAAGATGAAAATCGAGGCAGCTTCCCAAGATCTAGAACAACAAAAGCACTATGGCCATTCGTAAAATGGAGAAACAAACCGCGGAGAGCAGGCAGGTGTGGAATCGTCCATAAAGAACCATCGCTTGTGTGTATGGTAAGATTTTCTAATAAATAGAAAGAGAAAGGGGGGCAAAGATAGAAGGGGATTTTCTGAACACTCGACCTGTCTTGAAAATGATGGTTCGTATCTAGCTGTGAGGCATGAATGTCTCTGTCCTCTACAATTCTTGAATTGAAAGTCAGCGTCAGTTTGATCCATGCGGCATCTATATCTGATGCGATAAACCAAAGGAGATTCACCGTACATGCATGTCTTCAAATTTGGGATTCTGCCCAATATGTCAAATAAGCAGAAACCTCCTGTGTGAGAGTACTTAGATATGTATATCCATCGTACATGCGATATCCATCTCAACAGTATACCAAGTATTGTTCTAGCTGGAAGACGCCTTCCGTTCAACATACGAGGGAGATTGCTCTGAAAACTTATCGTTGTTTTCTGAAAGAGTGGTCTTATCACGTGAGCTCGTATTTGTCGGGAAGCGTTGTAAAGTGACCATAAGTCATCGGAAGATATAAGCTAATCATACATCATGAGTATATAGACTGAACTTCTAGTATGGGATTTGGTTATAATCGTACATCATCAAATACCAGTTGTAATAATTCAGCGGGGAGATCTAGCAACGTCTTTCTTGCTTGGACTTTGCTACTCAGACTCGATGGAGATGGTGGTAGAATACTTGACATGGTTGAATAGATCGATGTAATGTTAATCATGTATTTTGGTACCCCTGTTGCTCGGGTTCTGCTCCAGATCATGAGGCCAACCCCAAGCCTGTCAACGAAGCCTTTGTTATGGAGATCTGCCTTCCGGGGTTCGGTAGCTTGTGTAGCAAATTCGGGTCGATGTATAAAATATCCGGTATATGATCGCTCTCTGGGATGTGCGAGTCTTGGTGTAAATGAGAGAGATCACCTAGTGGCGTCAACCATGAAGCCTGTAACACCATACTGTTGTCAGAAAGTAATCTTTAACATACCTTTGCATTGCAAATTCGAAGAACGATCTGTTATTCCTCCGAAGAAATACGAATTTATCTCGTCGTTCTCTTCAGCGACACGAGCTAGTCTCTGGCTGGCTTTATCTAACTGAGAAAACGCGTCCAAGAACTGGTACACAGCCAAAGCATGCTGGGACTTTGATCAGCAGGAGAATTTCTGACCTTTATAGAACTAACCTCTGGATTTGCTCTGATGGAACGGAGGAGATACTTTGGAAGAGGCGGCCCCATGCTTAATTTGCTGTTGTCTGGACGATTATTCCCCTTTAACTGGAATAATAATTACTTGGGAACTATAAGTACGAAAAATATTCGTGAGAAACGACAATAAAGGTCGTTCGGTGGTGGGAAAAACACCACAATGGATTGACGATGAAATGAACGGACAGAGATCCACCCTGTGCATTGGGGTGTTTCGAGTTGTGAGCAGTGATCGGAATGGAAACAGTGGAAGAAATCCCGTTTGGTGTCGTACGCACCGTCTTGTGCGGTAAGAAATCCCGTTTGGTGTCGTATGCACTGTCTTGAGCGGTAAGAAATCCCGTTTGGTGTCGTATGCACCGTCTTGAGCGGTAAGAAATCCCGTTTGGTGTCGTATGCACCGTCTTGAGCGGTAAGAAATCCCGTTTGGTGCCGTATGCACTGTCTTGTGCGGTAATAAATCCCGTTTGGTGTCGTATGCACCGTCTTGTGCGGTAAGAAATCCCGTTTGGTGGTGTACGCACCATCTTCTGCTCTATCAACCAGTATTTCTTTCATGTCAACAGTCGTTTCCCATCTGCTGTCTGTAGATCATGTCATTCTGTACTTAAACTGACATCAATCCATCCTAGTATAACTCGTGCTTGTAGAAATTCCAACAAGGTCCCAGTTTACTCATAGTCTGCGATCTCATTGTGCGTAGTTGACAAACATCTGTCTAGTGCTGTAAGAAATCCTTCTTTGACCCTGACGTCGTTCTAGAGCAGAAGTAAAGGCCGTTCCCTTCAAGCTAGAATTAGAGCAGAGCACCACTACGTACCCAATGACAAGCTTTTGGTGAAGCTGCATATTAAATCAGAGTCAGCGCTTATCTGTTGAGAAACAAGGTCATCGCGCTCATGCTGATATGGTTAAGGTTATGATCTTCCCAATACTGGATATAGACTAGGATAGGCTGCTGCCTCTCTTTATTGGGTAAAATTGCTACTCACGTCCTGTAGCTGAGGAAGCTTCACTATTAATCAGTCGGTAATAAAGAGACGGTATCAAAATGGACTACACTCGTTGTCTCGACTGTCCATGACAATATTTTCTCAGAGATATAAGATTCGACGGACAGACTTTGTCTACCGCTTTCTAACATCATTTTACGGATAGTCCAACTTACGATGGTGGAACAATTTCATCTTCTATATCTACAAATCGCTAAGTTTACAGAGTTTGGTGAACGTAGGATTTTTCTTAGAGTAGCAGATTTGGATCATCAGCGCAACAGTTGCGAGAAGCTGGCTGAGCAGTGGCCTATTTTGGGAGCGCAGGTCAACCAACTAGTGAGTCTCGTACCTCATGTTCAATGCATCTACCAACGTCCTTTGAATTTGTATTGCAGGATTATGAGCGTCGATATAGCAAGCCGTGTATGAATTTTCATTCCAAGGTCTATGATCATTCATTGGATGAGTATATTCCCGGATTGAGTCAGAATTTGGACAATTTCGACAATCTTGTTGATCCCTTATTCGACTTTCCTGTTTCTTGGAGAGATATGATAGTGTCTTCTGTTTAACGATGTTAGCCATAGCGCTGCGCGATGCATGCCTGTCTCGATTGAAGAATATGACAGCTTTTGCGAATATTCTATTAGCGATTGTAGCATTAATCTATAATTTGAGGGAAAGCCAACAGATAAGTCAAGCTGCCTATTCATGAATAACCTGTTTTCCTATATGTAGACACGCAATAATCCTATCAACATCATCAACCTAGTGTTGACCGGAACCACCCCATTTTTCGGAAGTCGGATGTATAACACTCCTGGTTACGGGAATAATCTAGGCTGGTGATGGGAAGGTACAGTAAGGGTTCGAATCACCCTGGCAAGTCATACCGCTGACGCATGTAGCTCTTGGGTTCCAGACTTCGTTGTAGCATTGCTCCAGGACATTGCCATTGCATTGCCATGTCGCATCGGAACATTGGGTCGAATTCCCCGTCGTTTCGGTAGGAATTTCGACTATGGAAGTCGCTAGAGTTGAAGTAGGAGATGAGGTGGTAGGAGAGCTAGCCTGACTACCAGGGACAGGGCTCGAGACAGGTCCCTGTGCAAGTCCTGAGCCGGTACTATCGAAGTCATAGAGAGTCTCGTCAACAATTTCCCAGGAAATATCGATGTGACCTTCAGCACAAGCGGCTCCTTGCGATAGCTCATTGAGGACTTCGTAACTGAAGTCCAAACCAGGCGCGCCTGCCGTATCCCAGGAAGTGGCGGTTGCGGAACCAGTACCGCAGCGCTCGCAGCCATCACCGATGAAGAGCGGCAGATCAGAGGGTTGGCCGTTAACTGAGACAATGACTTTCTTGCCACAGTATAGGGGCATGTCCGACGACAGTTGCGTATTGTTCATAGCAACCAAATAGTTCGAGTTGATCTGAGTCAAGCTCAGAGTCGTCTCTAAACTACAGTGAACACCACCCATATTCTGATATTCAAAGCTAGTGCCGCAGGCATCTATCTCCTGAACATCATAGTAGTAGGTTCCGAACCCGGAGCCACTGTAAATGGTGTTTTGGCCATAAACCTCCAGCACCATGAGCAGACGAGCTGCAAGAATGGTAGAAGCACTCATGCTCGATTCCGAGTTTGAAGGATTATTTGTATCTGCTTTGATATGTAGTGAAGCGAATGACAGGAAGAGGAAAGGGTGTTGTCGGAGAACAAGAAACATCAAAGGTAGATGTACCGCCTTCTTATATAGGTCAAAGCCCCCTACATGTTT